CCGACAATCCAATCTTCTTCCCAACCCCCCCCCCCCCCGACATAGCCCCCCCCCGACATAATAGAACTATCATCAACAGCCACCGTAACCACCTGAGGAGGTGACTTCCGAGAAGACGCTGCTTTAAGATTCTTCAAATAGTCAGTCATGATCGGAGATTAGGAACAGACTACGAAAAAACCACAAAAAACCAAGCGTGTAATCACGATAACTTCAAATGTATTATTTGAAGCCTGAAACCGATAGACCAGTGCACTTGTCCTTGTGTTGTTGTCTAGTATACTCAAGCACTACTCGGGTAGAAAGAGAATGGCAGTTTCATCCTTCAATTTTTGGCAGTGCTTCCGGCGTGGCTTTAGTAGAGCGGTACCGACTTGACGGGCGCACGCGTGCAATTCCAGAATCTCCAAGTAGTCCCGATATCTTTTGGTTGGCGCCGTTCGTCTGCCCTTCGAGCTGATGCAAGAGATGTCAAAATATCTTGCTGGCTTGCGTGTTTTTTCTTCGCCAGAATGAAAAGTCCACAGGAGCCGCCTGTAACTGGACCTAGACGCGCCGAGTCAGCTTTTCGGGGGTGTCGTTCGGACAAAATGAGGGGAGTAGTATAGTCTTCAATTGTTTACCCAAGTTAGGCTGACTGGCGCGTCTTTCTTTTCAAAACTACTTGGCGTGCGTGCCCTTTTGATCTGCTTCCAAACCGTTGAACCTTCGTCCAAATGGACGAAAATAGTCGAACCTTTGTCGAGTCCGACTATTCTCGTCGGAGTCCGACTATTCTCGTCGAAGTCCGACTATTCTTCGTCGAAATGGACGAAATGGATGAAATGGACAAAACTGATTTCAGAGCTCGCAAGAATCTTGCGTGACGAAAAATTCAAATTTGAATTATTGGGCTGGTAGTGGCAACAAGCTAGGATGACATGCAAAAACGGCAAAAAACGGTACACTAGAAACCAAGGAACGGTAACTAAATAAAATAGCAGGTTCTATCTCTCCACAGCAATATGCCGAAGTTGCCAGAGGTGTTTACAGAAATGTTGCATACTTTCAGAAATTCAAATGTCAACAACGAATTATACTAACTTAGATGAGTGATAGATTTAGGATTCATCCGATCAAGAGGTTTAAAAAATAATCTGCCCTATTCCTATTGCGACCATGTTTCGTCTGGTCCGACGAAGTTTTGTCGGGTCCGACAAAGTTTCGTCGGGTTCGACGAAGTTTCGTCGGTCCGACGAAGTGTCCGACGAAGTTCATCCATTTCAACGGAACGACCACGAATGAAATGAATCTTTAGGCAGGTACGTTTTCAGCGAAGCCCAAGCTCTGCATTGCGCAGAATCTGTCACCGGCACGTCAGTTTCCGTCATCCTTGCCAGGGAATCTATGACATATCTGAGGACATTCCCAGCAAGTCTGCCATTTCAGGCCGCTCCAGCTCTTGCCTTTTGCCACTTGTCTTGCCGCTGATGAAGGCGAAAGCTACTACTTCCCTAATAGCTTTGGTCAAGACCGGCCTTTTCCTGGATAACTACATAAGTTCATTTTTATACACTACAAGGAATCCTTTCCCCTTGAGGTTGCAGATTATGCCAAGTTAAAAGGTATTGACAATGAACCAGCATTTCCATGGTGGGTCCCACATATACACAAAAAGCGTGATCGTTTTATAAGCAAGGTCAAATCAAAATATTGGGAACGGACCCACAAATACGGTATCGGTATCCCAAAATCTGTCAAGGAGGCTATCCAAATTGATCGAGAAAATGGTGATACTTTGTTGCAAGATGCCATCAAAATGGAAATGAAAAACAATCGAGTTGCTTTTGAGGAATTTGGCGGGGACATCAAAAAGCTAATTGGATACAAACGCATCACTGGTCACATGGTGTTCGATGTCAAACTTGGTGAGAACTTCCGACGAAAGGCTCGATATTGCGCTGATGGACACAAAACAGAAGCGCCAGCAGCACTGACATACAGCACTGTGGTAGCCCAAGATTCTGTGCGAATATTACTCACCATTGCAGCATTGAATGGTTTGGATGTCCAGTGCGCTGAAATTCAACATGCTTTCCTCACCGCACCCAATCTTGAAAAATGTTACATGATTGCGGGCCCTGAATTTGGAGACGAAGAGGGCAAAAGATTCATTGTTAGGCGAGCATTGTATGGTTTGAAATCTGGTAGTGTATAAAAATGAACTTATGTAGTTATCCAGGAAAAGGCCGGTCTTGACCATATAGGAATTGCTTGAACCTGATCACATAAACGTTTAGATAGATTAACCTAGAGATTCGCACACATCTTGTAAAATCCCCATGTTTGTTGTCGTACTCGTTTTCGTACCGAATCTCTCGTAACTCGCTACTCAATTTAACGAACATACAGGCGGGTTTAAAAAAGGATGTCACAATTTTCAAAAATCCATTTGTAGCTATTTTAGAATATCTATCGCTGGCTCATTCTGTAGGCACTATTCATTTGTTGACGACGACGATCATCCATAGCTTGTTGCTGCTGCTTCAGCTGGCGTACTCGCTCACGAATGGCCATGCAATTGGGCACGGGACATGAGGACTGTTTGCACTGGCGTGCGTGAATTTGAAGGAGGGCCCAAATCCTTTTGCAAACATTACATCCTCCCGTCGCTTTTTGTTTACACTGTGCACCATGTTTCAGGAGACCCTTCATCTTTTGGCAATTGGCAGATGGACATTTTGGATTCTGACATGTTGCGGCATGCAGCAGAAGGGTCATGTGCAATTGAATACTTCTTTGGCGTTCTTCTCTTTGAGCTTCGGTTAGTTCTGTTTGTTGACCAGATGCAACTGGGATTGGCTTGAGAGGGTGAGGATGTCTCGGTGTGTTTGGATTCCGTACACAATCCTCGCACTGATCGAAATCAGCACAAGTTGGGCAATGGTAACGGTAGCCTAGCAAAATCTCACGAGAACATGTTGTGCACTGTTGTACAAACTTGGGAGCATCCCGATTGTGCAAGTGCCACAACACCATCATTGAGGAGTGCTTTGCCCTCCTCAGTTGGTCGTATTGATAATGGTTGCCCTGGCACAAGTTCAAAAACGCTTGTCGATTATTCAAGAATTCACAATCCATTTCTTCCAAATCATCATCAATCACCTTGACCCTTCTGCCCTTGCTGTCAGTTACATATACAGTTGACTTTATGTCCTCTTTCTTGTCGTCTTCGCCTTTCTTTTCTTCCCCATCATCGAGTCCACGCTTTCGTGCCATGGCAGCAAACTTTCCAGATCTTTCTTCCAGAGAGAGCTGTTTCGGTTTCTCAACCAAATCTACATCAGCAGGCGATCCCGCAGAAGTCATTTTGATCTTAGTCCGTGTGACACTCTCATCAGCTCCTGACGGTGTCAATACGACTGATTGGGGAGTGCCTTCTTTTGGCAAAAAATCTAAAGTAAAGCCAGAGGGAACCTTCAGTGCTGCACGGGCGCTCGATGTCGCGGTGTTCGAATCAGACGCTTGAAAATCGCTCCCACCTTCTTTCGATCGGTTACTATTTTCTTTCTTCAAGATGCGTGTGCTTTTATCGGTATCAGAGACCCCTGAACCTTCCGGTGGAGGGTCTGGCAAATCATCACTTCTGTCAACATCTGTTTGTCCGCTTTCACTGGCGTCATGCTCTTGTTTTGATTGTGACTTTGACTCAGATGTCACAATTTCATCAGCAGCTGATGCTCCATTCTGATCTCGATCCGAATCAAAACCCATCTTATCAGCACCGTGCTTACTCTTGATTCCATTTTTTCCCCGGTGCTCTTGGATGGCTATGGGAACTTCCATATCCTCTAGCGTCGCCCCCTCCCATGCCAGAAACGCAACAATGAAACTTTCTTTCATTGGCTGAATGGTTTCCCCAAGCTTTTGCATCACATAGTCCCGACCTCCTTCTTCTAGGCTCTTTTGATCCTTTCCTTCTCCCAAAATACCACTTGCTTTTAGGGCATCAACATCCAGGCCAGTAGACCTTGTACCCCCCCGACTACTCTTCTTCTTCTTATCTCCTTTCTTCTTCTTGTGCCCATGCAAACTGCCTTTCTTTCCGGCTTTTCCCTCCTCAATATTCTTAATAATATTCTCGGCCTCGGCAGGGAAGTAATCCCCGTCCATGTACGGGACTAGAGTAGCATCTTTGTCTTTGTTGGCGAAGTACAAATCGTACATATTTGTGACTTTGCCAACAATACCTCGTTTCTGACATTCTACAAGCATGTCGATGTACCACTGCCGGAGTCTTTCATCTTTAGGGGTCTTCTGGTCTTCAGGTTTGGCATATAGGATATAGTCATCGCCTTTCAATGGTGGGCAGGCCCAAATGTGGGCAGTTGCAAAACCGCGACTTCGGACATGGTCGAGGTACGATATGAGAATTTCGTGGTAGATAAAGGTTCTCATCCGGCGTGGCCTCATATAGTGCACACTGTCAAGATAAGAAACATAAACGCAACGCTTGTTTGGAGAAGGATTCGTT